GTAGCACTTCAAGAGATGTAGAAAGTATTTTTGTGAACTTATCAGAAACCCATATATTTGCGAATTGAAGTGACACATACTTGGGCTGATTTTTGCAAAAAGTAAATTATTTTTTCATGTGAACATGATTAGGTATTCAAGGTGAACACCGTTAGGGCTTGTTCACACCAATTGCAGTGTGTTCCAGAGCGGTAGCTGCTGGAACGCACTGCAATTGCTCAAAAACTTCCCCCTTCCTTCTGGGGGCTGTGGCGGTGCATTGAAGTCAATATCACCGCTTCCACGTCCCCCCCACCGCCCGCAGTGCAATCGGACGCAAAACATTGCCTGCGTTCTGTTCTACTGCAAACGCAAAAAAATGCATGCTCTATTTTTTGTGCTTGCAGTGCAACGGCATGCAGGCAATGTTTTGCCATGCATCCGATCGCACTGCGGGCATGGAAGCGGACGCCCCCTCCCGCCCCAAAACACAGGGGCAAGTTTTGTGAGCGATTCAGCAGCTATGACTCTGGAACGCACCGCAATTGGTGCGAACAAGCCCTTTAAAATTTTGAGTGAAGATTTTGAAGTCCTTCAGTTAATCAGCCTCGTATCTAATGAGCCTTCTGTAGACTACAGGCTTATGTTGACACTGTCCATGTCCTCATACATATTAGACCAGGGTGGACAATTTAATATGGAGTCCAGGAGCCAGCATTGGCTACCTAGCTCCTGGGATTTCTCCTGCTCTGTGTTAGACTACATTTCCTTTTCACAGATAAATGTATAAGTTTAGTTGGCATCCGTGTTCCTTTGTAATTCAGGAGGGGGTACAGTTTGTGCAGAATTGTATCCGTCTGCTTGTAGCACTAACTCCTTCTGTATTACTGCCCACGTTCAGATTCAATTTTTATGTAAACGATTGCCAAGGGGAATTTTAACTAAGAGAAGCTGAAGTATAAAGATAATGTTTTCATGTTTGTTTCTCCTGTAAGCGAGGAGGAGATATCCTACATTGTGTAAGCCACTTGGAAGAAAAGCACGGCTATTGTTGTATCGTACCCATGAATGCAAAGCTGTAACTGAAGATGCTAAGCCTTCCATAGCTTGACACCATGCCCTTATTGTGACTTCAAAGGAAGGGCATTGTGCCAGTGTTGTAAACAGAATGCAGTCTTTTGGGCTATTGTAATTCCAGCCCTGGATTGTACCGTGGGTGCAAGTGAAGCTTAAAGGAATGTAGAAATAAAACTCTGCTGGACATTGAACCGAGACTTTTTATTTAGGTTTAAGAAAGTTTGCTTGTTTTACTGAATGGAGTATTCAATTTTCCCAAACTCACCTGGGAAAGTGGCATTACTTTTTAACCCGCTTCCTGTCTTAGGGTGGCTACACTCACTACTCTATCTATGGAGGAGCAATGTAGTCACCCTTGGACCTGGTCATCCTGTGGATAGGGTGGTGTTGGATGCAATAGTAGTGGTGTAGGCAACCTCGACATTCTAGCTGTGGTCAACCTACAAATCCCATCATGTCTCTACCTCTGAAAGACATATCTCTGGCCGTTTAAAGGAAGTTGAAAAATAATAGACTTGCAGGATCACCAGGTGAATTAAAAAGAAAAATCCTGAAAACCTCAGCTACTCCATTTTAGGATCAGTAAGCTGTAATAGATTACATTTTTGTGTTTGTCATGGCGTAGTTTGCATTTAGCAGCTTCTGGTGAACAAATTGGTTTGGTAATTAGAAAAGGAAAAAAAAAAACAAAACCTAAAGTCCAACCTTTTTTGGCCATGGCTCTCTTTCGGGTCACAGGAGGACATTAATGTTCTCCTGTGACCCAAAATGCAGCATATAGCGGGCTATAGCCTGTTGTATGCCGACAGTGCAGAGCTGCGCTCTGGCTGGGAAAGATCCTGACCATAAGGTTGGGAGCCACCCCACTACCTGATTGACAGCTAGCTCTACCTTCTAGAGGCAGAGCCAGCTGTGCCCGACCCCTTCTAGCCCTCCAGATAGAATGACAGTGACTGACAGTTACCACTCGCTTTAGGGAGAAGATGTGGACCTGAGGGATTAGCGGTATGTGATCCCTCAGTTCTCGGAGATCTATAGAATCTACGTGTGACAGCTGCAATGTCGCACATAGGTTCTAACTATGGGGATGAGTGTATTTCATTCTTCCCATAATTCTCCTTGACCTCTTCTGCATATACTATGTTCATTCAGATTTGTTCAATCTTTAGATTTCAAATCTCGCTGACAAATGGCGAGCACTCATTGGTCGCTGTGGTGAGGTGACTGTGCCGACCAATGAGTGCTCCCCATTTTGTGAGTGAGATTTGAAATGGCGAGCACAGGGCTGTGCTGCCGAGTATGGATAGTACACCAGCAGCTGCGGAGCGGAAGGAACATTTGGTTATGGGTAAGAGCAGCACTGGGAAGAGGGGGGGAAAGCAGAATTACACTGTAAGCAGGCCATACACTGGTAGACTTTCGTATGAACATTCATACAAAAAAACCTCCTCCCTCCCACAGCTCTGCCATCTGCAAGGACTATGTGCATCTCCAAGGAATGTCACCTCTACTTTTATAAGTTCCTGGCTTTGCAAAGGATTTACTGCACACAAAGTGGAATCTGTCTGTATCCTTTGTGGCTATTGAGGAAAATATTGAAATGAAAGTTTGTGACCAGAGTTCAGCTTTAATGAGGTCTCATTGCAAATGTGTTTTAGATATTGACTTGCGGTTCACCTTCCTTGTACCTTTCCAGCTGTGTATCCACGCGGTGCACCTGATAATTGCTGTTAGTTTCCTTGTAATTATGCTGTCATTTTATCTCCCATTTCATTGTGACAACAAATGATGCTGTCCCCAAGGAGTGAATGTGTGTCACCTAACACTGCTAGTATGACTAAGTATAGTATAACACGGCTCCAGCAGAGAAGGAACGCCATTGTTGTATAATACTACAGTGGTACATTCTTCCCATGATGAAATCTTCACATACCTTGAATGTCTCTCTGAAGCCCGTTGATTTGGGCTGAATATCAATATTCATAAATGAGGAATAATGACCAGATGCGGCTTCTAGAATAAGGGCTTGTTCACGCCAATTGCGGTGCGTTCCAGAGCGGTAAACTTCCCCCTGCATTCTGGGGCGGGAGGGGGCATGGTGGTGCATTCAGTTTCACTGCAAACGCAAAAAATGCTGCTTGCTCTATTTTGCGTTTTGCAGTGGGACGCAGTGCATGCAATGTTTTGCCATGCATCCGATCGCACTGCGGGGGGAGGGGTTCCGTGGAAGCGGTGCTATTGACTCAAATTCCATGCCAGACTCCTGCCCCAGAATGCAGAGGGTAGTTTTGTGTGATTGCGGTGCATTCCAGCAGCTACTGCTCTGGAACGCACCGCAATTGGTGTGAACAAGCCCTAAACAGGAGTATAATTGTATTAAAGGAGTTGTAAAGTCCCAGCATATCCTCTCCTCTTATATCATCAGCATTGTAATGGGAATACATACTAAAGTCGTTTCTGATAATACAATCAAAGCTTACTTGAAACAATCCCTGTTATGTGTTGGTGCATTGAGGAAATGCATCTTCAACAAGTAAGTTTACAGACTTCTAGATCCATGTAGTTATCAGGAGTAGGATGGAACTTGTATAGTTCATATAATTCCTGTGTAATGTTTAAAGGAGAATCATTGGGAGAATGAATTGCACTCATCCACATAGAGCCGACGTGCGACACTGAAGCTGTCACATCGCTCTATAGATCGAGAACTGAGCGATCACATACTGCTGATCACTAAGTGTCTCGATTCTTCTCCCTGCAGAGAGCGGTGACGGTCAGTCACTCTCCGTCCGTCCCCCCCGCTCTCCAGCGCTGACACAGAGAGGCGGAGCCAGCTGTCAATCAGGCAGCAGGGTGGATCATGACCATCTTGTTAGGATCCGTCCTGGCTGCAGCATGGCTCTGCGCTGTCAGAACATAGTGGGCAATAACCTGCTATATGCTGAGTTTTGGGTCACAGGAAGACATTAGTATATGTTCTCCTGTGACCCTAAAGAGAACCTTTTTGGCCATAGCTCTAAATTCTTGGCCCCACAGAACTGCTAATATCCAACCCATCCATGTCCCCGGGGACCCAAGGAGATCATGGGAAGAGACTTGACCACTTTATTATAGGCCTACAAAAAAAACGATTAAAGATCTATTGTCGTCCTGAGCAGTCATTTTGTTTTCGGGATGGGGTTCCCCATTTCCCTAAATGATTCTGCTCTTGCATATAAAGAAGAACTCCAGGGAAAACTTTTCTTAACGCTTGTAGTGGGGCTACCTGGAGTTCATGAAAAGCGGAACCAATCCAATTTTTAGCAATGCTACCCAGAGCCGTAAGACTTATTAACAGTAACAGCAGCTTTATGTCTATATAAACACTAAACCCTTAGCAGGTAACCTCTGGCAAACCAATCACGGGGAACAAGTCTAATATCTGACATGGATTTTCCAAGTGAACTGTTATTATTTACCCGACACGGAATACAGGTGATAGTACTGGTTTTAGGTGTGTGTGTGTGTGTGTGTACACAATTCTAGATATCTACCTCCTTTCGTTCTCCTGTGGAAGTGAACTTTGTCTCATGAAACGTGTTTTATTATTGTGATAGTTTTCCCATCATGGTACCCCTAAGTAGATCCATGAGTCCGCTTCGTAGTTTACTCTAGCCATAGCATTCAGTGCCCCACCTCCCCAGCAGGAACCAAAGGAGATCACACTTTAAATACAACAGGTTGCTTTTGTTCCTGGGTAGGGGGAACGCTCAAGTAAACCTGTTTCCTTGCCCTGTGTAGATAATGGCAATTCGTTTTTGGGCCATTTTATTTTTGTGCAGAGAAATCCAGCTCGCTACCCCTGTTTTGCAGTTATACTAATATTGGCAAGTTTCTACATACAGCGTCTTCCAGATCCAATGTAAAATGATGATGATAATAATGTAAGTTCATTTTTCTTTCAGCCGCATGAATTTGATGAATGCCGTTTTGATATCAGTGTTAATGACAGTGTCTGGTACCTACGTGCACAAGATCCCGATCACAGACAGCGCTGGACAGACTCCATCGAACAGCACAAGGTAAAACTTGAATTTGTTTAGTGTTTTCGGCTAGAAGTACAGATGAGGAATACGTCATGTGTGCTAGCCTAAAAAAAAAAAATCCTTTTTGTAAACTGAACATGTGACCAGACACCTATAACAAGTACAACGTTTGAGCAGGCAACCTATCGGAAAGCCCTTTAAAGTGTCTATGCAAATACTGACTTTCTGAAAGTCGAACAGAGGCATTTCCCCCTATTATTCATGTGACAATACCCATCTTGCCCACTGATGGTTCATTACTTTGTGAACATTACATTGCCAGGTCAGTGTTTGCCTGAGCTGTTTAGGGTGCTGCAGATCATTCTTTAGTGAGCACCTGTTATGTCAGTGCCTGATTTGTTGCCTTTAGAAGTGTCTGACTATAGGGGTGTTGAAGATATCTGCTGCACACCATATTTAAACAGGAGTGACTGCCACTGATGGCGCCGTGCAAAAAGTCAGATGTGAAGAAGGGTCACCAGCAGTCCAAATACAAAGAAATTGTTTACTGCAAAAATGGCACATAGGTGAAAATTGCCAACGTTTCAGAGCCAAGCAGGGTCCCCTCTTTTTATTGGGGAATTCATAAAATCTGGAGCAGCCAAAATCTGGAGCAGTTGCCCATAGCAACCAATCAGCTTCTCCAATTTGTTCGGTTAAAATTTCAAAATGAAACAGAAGCTGGTTGCCATGGACAACTGCTCCCAGATTCTGTCCGCCCCAGTTTTTCTGAATTCCCCCAACAGTGTCAAGGTCACTGTCTCCTTGAAGGGCCCTTGCGTGGCCCTGAAACGTTGGCAATTTCAACCTATAATTTTTTTTTTTGCAATAAACATTGCATTATTTTAGGGGTGTGCAAATTAACAATTAATTTCTCGATTAATCGTTTATCTTTTTGACCGATGAAAATTTTTTCAAAACTTTTTGCACGAGTGCCAGCCAAGGCATTGGCCTATACACATACAGCACAGCAATGAAGTAATAAAAGAACTAGGATCACACTAATCCAGCACGTTATTATTCTGCGTTGCCCCACTCAAACGGCGGCCATATTGAGTGGGGCATGTGAGATTAATAACGTGCTGGATTAGTGTGATCCTAGTTCATTTTATTACTTCATTGCTGTGCTGTATGTGTATAGGCCAATGTAGCTGGATCTTTATGTGCGTTATAATTAATCAAAATTAATCGATTAAAAAAAATTTAGATTAATCGAACACGAAAATTTTAATCATTACCAGCCCTACATTATTTGCATTAGGAGTGCTGGGGACCCGTCTTCCCAGTTCTGACTATAGGAGTGCTTTCATTCAGAGTTTGAATTCCCGGTGTGAATTTTGTATCTGATGTTGTGCTTTTGTTTTAATGTTGCTGTCACCTTCTCTGCATTTGCATAAAACCTCAATCACACCCAGATAAGTGAGCCAAAAGTGAGATTTCTAATATTTCATAACCCGTGACCAGCAGATCAGGACGTTTGCATTACACAGGCTTAATCAGTTTTCCATTTTCCAAATGCTGAATGAAATTGAAGAATCACTGTCGGCGTGTTCACAGATTTCCTTGTAGTTGACACGCCTGTGAGAAATGTCTGTAATTTGCTGTCCGAATGTCTCCATTAGTATTTAGTATTTCCACAACAGATGAAAGATTTTTAGAAATTATACTTCAGTAAAAAACAACAACTTTCTCTAAAACGGCATCTTCCTCCTGAAGTCCTGTTGTGTTTCATTAAAAATAAATTGAGCCGATTGCTTGGAAATGATTTTGCATGCCGGCCATTCTTGTATCTAATTGATTTTCCTTGGAGAGAGCCATGGCTTCCTTATAATGCCTCCATTCATTTTGTAATTATATTCCTTTTTAAGGCTGTGTATATCCGTGTCAAAGTGCTCTGTTTTGTGCATTGGGTGATGGTGAACGCATTGCCTGCTGATGCTCCACAAAACAGCACTTTGTGTAGCAGGCCTGCAGAGACCATCCTTTGCTCTACCTCTGTTATGCAGTGCCTGATGTGACTTGTAGTTCCACAACAGCTGTAGTGCCAAGGCTGGCTTCCCCTGTTCCTGCAAATTCAAAGGCACATTTATAAGTCAGTGAAAAGTTTATATAAAGGTAAAACACGGCAATTAGGCATGTAAAATACTACTCCTTTTTTTCCCTGTCTTATCTAAATTTTTTGAAGTTGGTAACGGGAACTCTTAAGAGGTTATGGGGTAAGTGTTTTTCCACATAGCTCTCTTTAGGGACACGGGAGGACATGTACTAACCTCCTCCCGTGACCCAAAGCTCAGTATATCGCAGTCTATTGCCCACGATATACTGGGAGCGCCGCAGCTGGGACGGATCCCGACATTACTGCCTGGATCCAGCTGCGTGAGTGACAGTTGGATCTGCCTATCTAGAGGCTATGCCCGCGCCTCCTCAGTTCGCTCCTCCACTCAGTGCTGGGGAGGGGGAATCCCTGCGGGGAGCGGTGACTATCTGGAAGTGAGTGGATCCACGGCATGTTTTCTGCTCACTTCCTGATCAATAGAGCCGACCTGTGACCGCTTCTTTGTCACATGTCTGCTCTAACTATGAGGATGAGTGGAATCACTCACCTCCATAGTTCTCCTTTTAACAGCTCTGCATCCATGACAGAGGTTAACACATCACGTTCTAGTTAATATTTGTTTTGTGGCAAATTTGATGTTAACGGGACACTATACTCAGGCATTAAATCTTAAAATCATCTCTGAATTGGTGCTGACACTGTCCTTCCTTCTGGAGGGGGGCTACTTATGTTCCCCATGGTCCCTGTGTGTGTTTTAAAGTAGCCACTGCTCCAAACTCGCTCCTGTGGTGGTTACAATCTCACGTTTAATTTTGTAATTTGTATTGAGATTGTAGTCCATCGCGGGAGTGAGCATGGAGTGGTGGCTACGTTACAACACACAGGGACCATGGGGAGCAAGTAGCCCCCCTCCAGAAGGTAGGTCAGTGTCCGCACCAATTCAGAAATGATTTGAGGTTCTACAGCCGAGTGATACACAAATATAAGATACATTTTTGTTAATTAAGGGATTTGAATGAATTTTTTAGATTAACTTCTGAGTTTAGTGTCAATTTAACACTGAAGGATTTTTTTTTTTTTTTTTGGGTAATACCAGTTGCCAAGCAGACAAGGGTTCTTCACATGCAGAGATGCAGTGAATGGTCACGCATTGAGTACAAGATGTTGGACAGAACAATCGCTGACTTTCCTCCTGGAAGCCTCTTTATATCATTGTGGACTCTGCTGCTTCCTATTTATGAGCACGGTATAAACTCGTGTATCAAAAGAGCGTTCTTTTGGCTCCTTTCCCAAAGCTTTGCAAACTGGATGAGCCGGATAGTCTGGTGGAGATTAGTGAGAAGAGAATAAACCGGTCTTATTAAAAAATAAATGATTTAGTCTGGTGAGCACAATAGGATTTGTAGGGAAGAAAATATCTGTATATATTGGGGGCACGCGTATGTCTACCGACATGTTCAGTCATAGACTTTTATCCCAATTTACTGGGTCAATGTCTGGATGATTGTTGGCTGTGTTTCCATCTATGGTTAATGTCAAGAAATGTACATTTCTAACCAGATTGTAATGATCCATTTGTGAACGGTGTTCACTGCCAAATATGTTAATGTTTCTAGTGCTCACCAGACCTGTAAGTAAAGTGGACCAGAACTCAAAAAGTGAATATTTTAGTGTGCTGTATAGAACCAGTGGAAATATCAATTGTGCCTAAGCATTGGCTCCTGAAAGTTTCCCATTTAAGTATATGGGACCAAAAACTACATTGCACTGTTTCCAGAGACAGTCGTTTCTCAGGTGTGAACGGATGCCATAGAAATGAACAGGATACCTTGTCTTGGGTGTTTTGTCGCGCTTGGCTTTGAGTGACAAAACGCCTAGGTGTGATCAGGGACTTGCTCTATCCAAAACTAAAAAAGAACAAAGTTTTTTGGCTTCAGTTCTACTTCACTTATTAATAATGTGTTTGCTCATGAGCGCTTCTTGATCATCCGGAGTACATGCAAGTTTCCAAGAGTTCTTCACTCCAATGTAATGAGTTCTATCAGCAAGTGCTACTTCTATCTGGGTGGAATGTGCAGACTGTTATGTAGGATACAGCTCTGTATGCAGAATAATGCCACTTGTAGCTTTGTAAACCTCTCCAGTACTCCAGGGGTTAAGCTGTTGAACGCTCATGTTCTGTTTGATACTTTTCTCCATGTCCCTAATTTGTAGCTTTCAAACACATGAGCAGTATTGATCTGTAATGTGCAGTGTCATTCCTGCAGCACACAGCAGAGAATTCTGTAACAATAAATGTCAGCAATCAATACATTACAGAGCTGCTTGTTGAGATAATGCTCTGCGCAACCAGCTAGAAATGCTATCAAAGTATCATGTGACTCCCTTCCACTAGGCGCCATAGCCATTTGTCAGCGTCTTGGGTGATATGCTGGCTGGGACAGTTCAGTCTGTTGTATTTGAAGGAAAGGAGGTCTCACCCATAGCAACCAGACATTTCATTTCATCTTCTAGGAAACTAGGTTTTTTTTGGGGGTTTTTTTTTAATAGAACTTGTGTTTTGACTAGGTCTAATTTCATGAAAATTGTCCCTGCTTCGCATAACACAATGGGCACATTTCTGAAAGCACCGAGGAAAGGTGCTTGTGCGGTCTGGGTGAATCAACACAAGCCTGAGGTTTCACTTGGCAATTTCATGTTTATTGGTCACCTTTTCGCCAGGCGATGGGGATGGTTGCTGAGTTCCATTTATGTTGCTCGTGTATACAAAGCCTAAAGGCAGAAAACATTACGATTTTTATATTTTTCATTCTTTGCTCAGTAAAGTCTTAGAACAGACACTGTTCCATCACATATCCTAAAATAGACTATTATTCCTCATTTCAGGACTGTGGACATAACTATGCAAATCATTCTTTTATTCCCCAGTGGGCCAACTGTG